ATTTTTTTTTTTTTTTTTTTACAAAATAAACCCAGATATGTTGATGACCGATGTAAAAGGTAGTAAACTGAAAGTGATTAGTGATCAGTTTGTTGGCTGCATATCAAATAATTCTGTGATTCTCAACCAGCAGGCTGGGCCCCACTATAGGGCCTCTGCAAACTTTAAAGTGGGCCTCAAGATGACTTAAAATGATTTAAAATAATACAAAACAAGCATTAAAATAAGCAACTAAAAAGCAAACATAAACACCTAAAATTTGTAAATCACATCATTAAACCCCCCCACTTGGAAGAACCAAGGTTTCCACGGTCTTAGAAAACCTTGATAAGTATGAAGTAGCCTAATATGTGACCCTGGACCACAAAACCAGTCATAAGGGTCAATTTTTTAAAATTGCGCTTTATACATCATCTGAAAGCTGAATAGATAAGTGTTCCATTGATGTATGGTTTGTTAGGATAGGACAATATTTGGCTGAGACACAACTATTTGAAAATCTGGAATCTGAGGGTGCAAAAAATCTAAATATTGAAAAAATCGCCTTTAAAGTTGTCCAAATGAAGTCCTTAGCAATGCATATATTAATAAACAAAAATTAGGTTTTGATATATTTACAGTAGGAAATTTACAAAATATCTTCATGGAACATGATCTTTACTTAATAATATTTTTTGCTCCAGGGTCACATTTTAAAAGTGTGATTTCTAAATGTAATGTAAATTCAATTAAATGAAAATCTTAAAACGTCATACACATTTTTATAAAGAATATAAATGTGTCTAGTTATGCCATGCCAAAATTTTATCATGTAAAAATTTTTTTCCCTCTTACAAACATCTGGAAAAGTCATTTTGGTTAAAAAGAGTGGCCCTCTTAAATGACATTCAGTTCTTAAAAATTCTGGGATTTATATAATTTATATAATATATATGCACACTACTAGTTCTGGACAGTTTAGGTCTTTGAAGTAAAAAAGATTGAGAACCACTAAAATAATTTAATAAATGGAAATTATTTTATTTATCACAGCAGGACAGCACAGCTATTTGAACGTTTGTTACCTGGTGCAAGAATCAGTTTTATAAGGTCATTATACTAAAATATTTGTCTTTAGATTATCGGAATTGACCATTCAGAATCAAGTGTTCAGGAGAGCCATGTACTAAATGCATTTAATAGATAAATTTGTCATTTAAATTATAATCATTTATGTTTCAATTATTGGTCCATGATTCTGCTGATATTTGAGGTGATCGATGAAATGTTTACTTGCCAGATTTTGGGAGTGCTTAGATATGGGATGAATCTGTGTGTATGTTTTTGTCTCATATATCTGTATGTTTTGTGCTCAGCGTAAGATGCATGTTTGGGAGTGTTTTATATTCGACTGATAGTAGTATGCTTGTGTGTGCATGTGTGCATTGCAGCATTGTGCTGGGGCTGCCTGGCGTCTGGTACTAACTCATCCGCTGTTAATTGTGTTAGTGGTTACAGCTGTCCGTCTGTGGCAGGGCCATATTGGGTGCACCGCTACAGGCTCCTTCAGCCTTCTCTTCCAGTGGAATGAGCTTCCAGAACACACTCAGTCTCTCCCACCTCTCCCACTGGAGCCCATCTCACCAGCAGGCTGGGCCCCACTATAGGGCCTCTGCAAACTTTAAAGTGGGCCTCAAGATGACTTAAAATGATTTAAAATAATACAAAACAAGCATTAAAATAAGCAACTAAAAAGCAAACATAAACACCTAAAATTTGTAAATCACATCATTAAGCCCCCCCACTTGGAAGAACCAAGGTTTCCACGGTCTTAGAAAACCTTGATAAGTATGAAGTAGCCTAATATGTGACCCTGGACCACAAAACCAGTCATAAGGGTCAATTTTTTAAAATTGCGCTTTATACATCATCTGAAAGCTGAATAGATAAGTGTTCCATTGATGTATGGTTTGTTAGGATAGGACAATATTTGGCTGAGACACAACTATTTGAAAATCTGGAATCTGAGGGTGCAAAAAATCTAAATATTGAAAAAATCGCCTTTAAAGTTGTCCAAATGAAGTCCTTAGCAATGCATACATTAATAAACAAAAATTAGGTTTTGATATATTTACAGTAGGAAATTTACAAAATATCTTCACGGAACATGATTTTTACTTAATATCCTAATGATGTTTGGCATAAAAGAAAAATGGATAATTTTGACCCATACAATGTATTGTTAGCTATTGCT